TGAATTTACATATCTTCTTTCGGAAGCTGAGGGTAGTCTAGACGTGCCCTCAGTGAGAACATTGACAGCTGGTTACTTCTGGCCACAGGCAGTGCTCCATCCCTACATCCCACCCACCATGGTTCCGTAGAACCATTATGCTGCCCTGAATACAAGAGATAAGGAATCACCCTTTCTGAAGGAGGAGGAGAAGAAGCTATGTACCTATGTAAGGCTGGGAGGTTTCTAACCACCACTATGACAAGGAAATGTATGGCGGGGATGGTTGGAGGCTCTTCTGAGGGGGATGGATCCACCCATCTGTCGCCCTGACATGACATCCTTGGAGGTATTCTGCCTACCAGGGACCCATATCCGAGACGTTACAAAGGGATTGTTGAGGATCATCCAGCCCTCTGACAACTATCCATGCTACTCATCCAGTGGTCACTAATGATATTTCAAGGTGTGACCTTGAACAGATTGAAAGTGACTCCCAGGGCTCTGGAAGTATGAGGGAGGGAGTTTGGTGTGCAGGTGGTATTCTCTTCTATCCTTCTGGGCAAAGATAGGGGTCCAGGCAGAGATAGATGCATCCTGGAGGGGATGCCTGGCTGTGAAGATGATGTCCACAGGAGGGCTTAGGCTTCTTTGACCATGGGATGCTGTTCCAGGAAGAAGGACTGATAAGCAGAGGTGGGGTAAACCTATTGAGGAAGGGGAAGAGCGCATTTGGATACATACTAGCTAACCTAATAAGGAGAGCTTTAAACTAGGTTCAACAGGGGCAGATGACCAAAACTCACAGGTAAGTGAAAAAGACCTACAAGATGGGTCAGGAATGGGGGGAGCATGGGCTATAATAGTAGGGATCAAGGGGAAACAAGGCAGAATCGGGGGGTAAAATCAAATGCAGATAACTCCACTTGGGGAGGAACAATCAGTATCATGCATATTTAAAGGGAAATGACTATCTAGGAAGGAGTACTGCAGAAAAGGATCTGGGGTTCATAGTGGAACATAAACTAAATATAAGTCAACAGCAGTGTTCCCTCTAAGCTGTGCACAGCTTCACAGGTGATTAATCAATTGCCCCCAGTCAGTCAGCTCCATGCACAGAGCCTAGAGCCTCTGCCTGGGTGGGCTGATTAATCACTTGTGAAGCTGTGTGGCTGCCCAGTTTAGAGGGAACACTGGTCAACAGTGTGACAATGTGGCAAAAAACACCTCCCGCTTCCCATTATCTCCCCAGGTAAGCATTATGTATTGTGTGTCACAATATAAGTCTATTAGCATACTAAGTCAAATGCTAATGAAGAACTTGTAGGTACTTCAAAACAAAATTAACAGGAAGAGGTAAACTGTAAACGGTAAGATAAACAGGAAGATCAAAGATCTAGTGTATATGGGAGTGCAGAGAGATGCCCTGGCAATCCTTCAGGCTGGGAAGACATGATGCTAGACAAGATATTAGAAAAGAAAGGTCTTAGTTATCCTGGTTGAAAATGCAGGGAAAAGAACTTAGGGGAAGCTATCATGTAGGAGACAGAGAAATGTCTGTTGAGTTAAGTTTAAGTTCTAGAAAGCACATTATGATTTTGTTTTATATATAACCATAAGTTTTTGATATCCTTACTATCATTTGAATCTCTGTTTGTCAATAATAAACTTATTCATTCCTACTATAAATACATCTGAGTACAGTGTATTAAGTAGAGTGGTAATCCTGATGTAAAACTTGCAAGCTGGAGAGCTGAAGAAGAAATGGTTAAGTTTGTTGATGTCTAATTGTTACATTTATTTGTAATATATTTATTAGAACATAAAAATGGATATACTGGGTCAGACCAAAGATCCATCTAGCCCAGTATCCTGTCTTCCAACTATGGCCAATGCCAAATGCCCCAGAGGGAGTGAACAGAACAGGTAACCATCAAGTGATCCCTCTCCTGTCATCCACTTCCAGCCCCGACTGACAGAGGCTAGGGACACCCTTTCTACCCCATTCTGGCTAGTAAGTATTGATGGACCTAACCTCTATGAATTTATCCAGTTATTTTTTGAACCTTGTTAAAGTCCTGGTCTTCACAGCACCCTCTGACAAGGAATTCCACAGTTTGACTGTGCGCTGTTTGAAGGAAAACTTCCTTTTGTTTGTTTTAAACTTGCTACCTATTAATTTCATTTGCTGACCCGTCGATCTTATGTTATGGGAACAAGTAAATAACTTTTCCTTATTCGCTTTCTCCATATTGTTGTATCTGGAGTCCTCTATCATATCTTCCCTTAGTCTCCTCTTTTCTAAGATGAAAAGTCCCAGTCTTTTTAATCTCTCTTCATATGGCATCAGTTCCAAACTCCTAATCATTTTTGTTTCCCTTTTCTGAAACTTTTCGAATGCCAATATATCTTTTTTGAGATGAGGCGACCACATCCGTATGTCAAGATGTGGGCATACCATGTATTTATATACAGGCAGTCCCCGAGTTACGCGGATCTGACTTATGTCGGATCCGTACTTACGAACAGGGCTTTTCTCATCCCGCAGGACGCGGGCGGCAGGACCGCCCAGACGCGCCGCGGTCCCGCCGCCCGCATCCCCCGGGGCGAGAAAAGCGGCTCCGCGGCTCCCTGGTCTGCTGGGGGGGGCAGCAAACTAGGGAGATGCGGAGCAAAGCCGCGGAGGATGCGGGTGGCGGGACCGCCCAGATGCGCCGCAGTCCCGCCGCCCGTGTCCCCCGCGGCTTTGCTCCGCCCCTCCCCCGTCTCCTGGGGGCTCCCCCCCAGCAGACTTGGGAGCCGCGGAGCCGCTTTTCTTGCCCCGTAGGACATGGGTGGCGGGAGCGCGGCGCGGCTAGGCGGGCC